TATAGCTAAGAAAAATGAAAAGCTTGCCCCTGACTCAAGGAACTTATGCTCTACATCGTATTTCCTTGTCTTCCTGTAAGCACAGTCCAAGTGATGAGCTCAGTGGAAGATGAGAGAAGGGAGCAGCCCAAGAAAAATTCTGGGCTCATTGCCCAGCTCTTCTTCCTCTCAGGGAACTGGAACAGGCCAGGTTAGGTCCTCCTTTTGAGGAACCAGCTTCCAAATCTTTCACATGGGCATCTCCCAACAGTAGCTACCATTTACCTTGGCCAAGCGAAGCACTTCAATCTTTGTGTAGTAGATGCTGCGATGCTCATCTTATAGATGTGCAAAACTGTAGCACAGATGAGTTAAATTGTCTGAGGTTAAATAACTTTAAAAAGTGGGGGTTGGGCATTTGGTATAGTGGTTAAGATGCCACTTGGGACACCCGTATCCCATATTGCAGTGCCTAGGTCAAGTCTGCTCCTCTCCTGACTCCAGCTTCCCTCTAATGTGCACACGGGGAAGCAGCAGGTGACAGCTCAAACACTTGGGTCCCTGTCACCCACATGGGAGTTCTGGGTTGAGTTCCTGCCTCCTGCCTTTGACCTGGCCCAGCCTCAGCTACTGCAGACATTTGGAGAGTGAACCAGTTGCTGGAAGATCTGCCTTTTGTCTGTGGGTCTGTCTGTCTTGCTTCTCCCTCTCCTCATCTCCCATCTCTTTCTCCCCACCTTTCTCTTTTTCTCTCTGCCTGCCTTTTCAATCATTAAAAATAAATAAATAATTCTTGAAGTGCTAAAGTCAGAGTTAGAACTCAGGGTGGACTCAGAACCACACTCCTGGGTCCCATTCTGGTCACCCACTTTGCCAGGACCCTCTCCCACCCTTACCTCCACCCTCACTCATGCTCCCCTCCCCCATCTCCACCCAATATTTCTACCCACAAAGATCAAGCTCATTATCAGGAAACAGAAAGAAAAAGCTTTAAGCCAGAATGTAAACCTTAGTTATAGCCATCCACGACCTCTCTTTCACGACTGTTATTGCACCAAGCTACATAACATGAAATCTCGTTGCCCAGAGTTGTACTAAAGATATATTGACTAAATATAAAACCAGCCCATTAACTTTTAAGAATTTTCTCCTCCAAATTCCGTATGGAGTGTACAGATTAATTAAATTCTAGAGCTATAAACTAGAGATAATCAGTCTGAACTAGCGGAAGAGCCACTATGTCATCCAGAAGTCAGAAAGTCACCAAATAATTAAGTACATTTCTGATATAAAAAGGCCCATAAATGTTTTATTATAAAATAACAGTAAATTCACCCAAATGGGTAAATAAAGATAGCTGCGTGGTTCTCAATATTTTTTAACTCAGGAGATGTCTGGAATTAACACCAGGTTTTCTGTACCCATCAGTTCTTCTGCCACTGTCTAACCTGTTGATCCAATGCGAGGGAAAACACTTGCTTGATTTAAAATTGAGGGGCCGGCGCCATGGCGCATTAGGTTAATCCTCCACCTGCGGGGCCAGCATCCCATATGGGCACCAGTTCTAGTCCCGGCTGCTCCTATTCCAGTCCAGCTCTCTGCTGTGGCCTGGGAAAGCAGTAGAAGATGGCCCAAGTGCTTGGGCCCTGCACCCGTGTGGGAGACCCGGAAGAAGCTCCTGGCTCCTGGCTTCGGATCGGCGCAGCTCCGGCCGTTGCAGTCATCTGGGGAATGGACCAGCCGATGAAGACCTCTCTCTCTCTCTCTCTGCCCCTCCTTCTGTCTCTGTGTAACTCTGACTGTCAAATAAATAAATCTTTAAAAAAATGATTATTCTAAAGGACAAAAATAATAGCTACTTTTTATTTGTGAAGTAATGAAGACAATGATTTTGTTTTTCCACACACACGAGTTTATGTGTCAGCCCTATGATAGTCACAAAGTGTTTAGCCTCTGCAAGCCTCATCCGTGAAATCGGGTGGACAAGGACTCTTCATAGGATCACTGCAAAAGTCACTTATGGTGCTGCACATGGCACAGTGTCTGGTACACACTGAAACCTATTCAGTAAAGGATGGATACCCAGAGTTTATGGGAAAAGGGCAAGAAAGGCAGTAGGGATTTTAAGGCTTGTATTTCTTGGAAGCCAAGCAAAGATCGGCTTGGTGTTTCCATCTTCAGTTTTCTTCGGTGGTGCTTGTACTCCTTACCTCATTTATCATAACCCGTGCTCACATAATAGGCATTAACACATAGGGTTCCGCGCTAGTATTCAAATGGGAATGGGTCGCTCAGTGGGAATTGTGCGTCCTTGTGTTTTAAGTGCTATTTGTCCCTGAGGCTTTCAGTACGTCACTCTATTTCAAAAACAAGTGGTTCACATGGCTCGAAAACTGCGTGCTGAGGATCACTTGCAGAGATTCTGTTTATTCATGGAAAGGTCATCAACTTGGAGAGAACCCTATTTCCACTGCGGGCTGGTGTACATGACTACAGAGAGTTTGGGTGCTTAATGGTGCTTCCTGCCAAGCTGTCCTGAGGTCAGCGATCCTTCCCCTGTTAATTTATGAGATCGACCGGCATTATTGTGTTGTGTTGCATAGGGAAACTCTCTCAGTTCCCTAAATCAATTATATCCATGAAACGCCGCAGGACTTGTGAACGGAAACACTGGAGAAAATGGTATTTTAAATGATTTCTTTAGGAAGGTCTTGGGATTTGGCTGCTTGGCCTTTTGATTGCTATGATCAAAGCCCCTTTTTTGCTTTACGGTTCAGGCTCTGCCTATGCCAATTCCTGCCCTGGAAAACAACGCACTGAGGCACACTTTGCCATTGGCTGCACTGGCTTGGGTTGAGCCACTGCCTCACTGCGTGACCTGCACAAACTGCCCAAGCTCTCTCAAACTCTGTTTCCCTATCCATAAAACAACAAGGCCACAACAACAAAAGCTACGTAACCTTTAAGATAGATATACCAGCTGTAAAGGTCTGTAATTCTGCTAGTATCTCTCGTTTTCAAATGTGCCTCTTTGTCATGCACTTCATTTCTCTAATGATGAATAGCATAGCATAGAATTAACAATTGCTACCTTGAAGATATAATTAAGTTTTGTATTATTTTCTACAACTAATATGCAATGGATTTTAATTTTATTCATAATTACTAACTTCAGGATTAAAAAATCTGTGTATTAAGTGAGAGCATTGCACCATTCTTATAGCCTCTTCTTCTCATGTTAATAAAATAACATTATAAAACACCACCCACACAGATGATAAGCTTCACTCCATCACTGGGAAGCGTAATTAGCAAATTAAAGAGTTGGACTCACATTTGCACTTACATTATCAAGGTTTTGTTTTCATTTAAGTAAAGCCTGTGGCCTAAATCACAGTGATTATAATATAGCACTAAGTAAGCAACAGTACTTCTGCCTTTCACAATTATGTTTTAATTTCCCATTTTGCATTTTCCAACATGAAAGCTAGGTTTTATTTACACTGGGATTTGATTTACTAAAGATTTTTTTTTTCAGTTTTATCTTTTTAAAAATAAAAGTGCAAACATACATAGAGCACACAGATTTTCCCCCTATAAACATTAGCTTATATCCAGTCTTTATTGGCATTATGTACATAGAAATATTGGAATTTCCAATGTAGAGACTTCAAACTTACTCTATTATCTTCAGAGAATGTTCTTGGAAAGAAAGGTTGTTCTCTTTAGTCTGGTTTCTCTGCATAGCTCTGGACTAGCGGGATATAAACATCCATTTCAGCAGTACTTTTCCAGAAAACAGACAGCTCTGTAAGGGGGGACTTCCCCAAGAAAGCGCTTCCTCGGGTCAAAGGTCATGTGGCCAGCTCTGAGCCTGAAATGCAAGGCAGTTGAGGAGAAACAGCGGAGCCAGCAGACTGAATTCAGATCCCAGCTTTCTCACTGCTGGTTGTACGACATTGGGCGAATCATTTATTTGTTGCTATTCTCCATTTCTAAAATGGAGGGGAACTGCCTACTTCATAGCACTCACACAAAATTACACAAGATAAATGCTGCCAGTTACTGTTAGTTTGATTACCATTGCTATTTCTATTACGATTACTACTAAATCAAACAGAATGTGACCCTGACCCTGAGTGTGCGTGCATGCAATGGTTTTGGCCATGACCTTCCATCAACAGCACTGGTTCCCCCACCACCACCACCCCGGAGGGTTCTGCTGTGCCCAGAGTAAGGGAATTGGCACTCAAAGACACTAGAAAAGCGACTGCACTGAAGAATGCTCAAAACATTCTGGGCAGTCCTGCCTGAGGCTGCATTACTGCCTACCAGGCTTGTCTCTGCCCTCAGGCACTGACTCCCTTCCTCTCTTTCCATGCCAGCCCTCCTGAGCCACTTTGTGTCCTGCCTGCATTAGTCATCACAACACAGGTCAGTGACAGATGAATTAGATAACTCCCATCTGATCACTCCTCCTGCAAGGGACAGACGAGGGAGATCAGGAAATGAGACTCAAGCAGAGGATGAGGGCTGAAAACAAGATACACTCTATACCCTACACACACACACACACACACACACACACGCTCACACACATACACTCACACACATTACATGATTAGCAATCCAATTTCATGGACTATTACTAGTATTTTTCATGCACTAGACAGAAAATATCATTACAGGGTGGCTATTTGACCTACTGGTTAAGATGCCAGTTAGGATACCAATGTCCCTTAGCAGGGTGCCTGGGTTTGATTTTGGCCCAGGCTCTCAGTTCCAGCTTCCTGATAATCAGACCCTGAAAGGCAGCAGGGGGTGGCTTACACAGTTGGTTCCTTGTCACTCATATGAAGGACCTGGATTGAGTTTCAGCTTCAGGTTTCAGTCTCTTGACCATTGAGGGCATTGGGGAGTGAGCCAGTGGATTGCAGCTCTCTCTATGTGTCTGTCTTTCTGTGTGTGTGTCTGCCTTTCAAATAAAAAAATAAGAAAACATTAACACAAAGTCATGTGACATGGAAAGTGTTATTTTATTGAGCTTTTATTTCAGGGGCTGGCATTGTGGTATGGAGGGTTACAGGGTCAGGCAGCCTGATGGTCCGGCATGTGATGGAGGTTGGTCATGGCGGTTGTGATCACACGCTGAGCCAGGAAAGAGAGAAAGAGCCTAGGTCAAACCTGAACTCAAAAAAATCAACCCTCTTGCAAGAACATCCCCCCACGGGCACACCCCCAACCTGGCCCCCCCTCCTAGCTACCACAGTGAGATCAAATCTCCACTCTTAATCATCAACTATTAACATGAAAACATCAGAGTTCAAGCAGCTCCATGAGTTCTGGGGAGACAAGTCCTACTCGGTTGGTCAACGCGAATTCTCCCTTATTTGGAAACTTAACTAGGAAACTCTGCAACCAGAAAGAACACGAAATCAGACAAGGAGAGCTCACTGGAAGTTCTTCCCCATTAGTTTTCTGAACCGTCGCAGCCTAATGCTACCAAATAGCTCCCCACGCTCATGTTGATGTCCAGCCCTGTGCCTCTTCTGCTCTCTAGAGCCCACCAGGCTCCGATGCGTACATTTGCTCTTCAGATGGTAAAATGTAGTCAGCTTGGTGTCTGCTACCAGAATCTACTGTGCTATACTGAAACCACATCCCAGTCACTCTGGCTGTCCTTACAGGCTTCCAAATCCTGTCCATATATCTATGGACCATACAGCCCATCTAATGCTACCAAAAAGAGTTAGTCTCCATCATTAGTGAGATTTTAAAAAAATAATTTATGTTTTATGTTATATCTATTTATTCAAAGAGTAGCATGACAGAGACAAAGAAGTCTTCCATCTACTAGTTTTTTTAGGGCATCTACTAGTACCTCAAATGCATGCAACAGTGGGGCAGGGGCAGGCCAAAGCCAGGAGCTGGGAATTCAATCCATATCTCCCACGTGGGTGGCCAAGAAAGAGGAAGTGATAGAGAAAAAGAGACCTTCCATCTTCTGGCTTACTCTCTAGATGGCCACAATGGCCAGGGCTGGGCCAGGCCAAAGCCAGGAGCCAGGAGCTTCTTCCAGGTCTCCCACATGGATGGCAGGGTCCCAGGCACCTGAGCCATCTTCTGCTGCTTTCCTGGGCATTAGCAAGGAGCTACACTGGAAATAGAGCAGCTAGGACACAAATTGGGGTCCATATGGAATGGCAGCCTCACAGGTTAGGGCTTTATCCACTACACCACAATACTGGCCCCTAAACCTAATTTAAATTACCCAAATAATTCACTTTGTCTCATCCCCTGATGTTGCCTCTCATCTCTACATTGCTCCTAATTGAGCAGGATTTTATAAATAGAATTTTCTCCAGCTTTACAAATAAAAAGCCCCGCATGCACATATACAATATCAGATATGAGCCAGCACGCCCACTTGTGACTTTACTAATCCCTGAATTCTTCAGGCCTTGACTTAATGTGAGTGACACATATGCTTATACTGTGTTCCTGACCTGAGTCACTCCAGTAGTGTAGCAAATGCTGGGATTCTCAATTATTTCCTGATTTGTGAAAACAATAGTTTTCACAATAGAATACTGAAAGCTGAGACTGTCTCACAGTCCATGGGAGAAGCAGGCATCCCTCTGCGCAAGCAAAGGCACACCAGAAGGCGTGCCCAGGGCACTGAGTCCCGCGTATCCGGGAAGGCAGGTGCAGCTGTCAGGGAAGGAGAGGCTTCCGGTGATGGCTCTCACAGCGACACTGGCTGAGTCCTTACTACGTGCAAGTATCGTGCCAAATGTTTTCCACGCTCTACCTCATTCAACACTCCTAAAAGCCCTTTGACAAAGAAACGTCAATGAACTCTATTTTATAGATGAGGAAACGAGCCTAAAGGAGTCCTTTAGTACTGGTAGCAGCTAGACCCAAAGCCAAGTCTGCCTGATCTAGAGACAATGCTGTGGAACTTGAACCTGCTCCTGGGCCAGATGTAATCCCTATGAGACCTTTAGGAAGTTTCACACCTTCTGGGTGGTGTTCTGGCCCACACCCTTGTCTTTGCAACACACTCCCCTGTCTCAAAATCAGGTATATCCCGTGGGTTCTTAGACTAGGAAGATATCTGCTGTGGGATGAGCAGTCTAGAGGCAGCTCCTCCCTTTTTTGGGGGGTGGAGGAGACTTATTTTATTTATTTGAGAGGCAGGGTTACAGATCTCTTCCTTTTTTTTTTTCCTTTTAATAATTCTCATCACTAATGCAGTTTACCATTCCTGGCTCCTCACACTCTCCCCCTCAACATGTTCTTTTTGATTATTTATTATTACCATAATTAACATTTATTGGACCCATCGTTGTGCAAAATATGGAGGAAGACACACTCCCCCACCCTTTTGGCTTATGATCCAAATATTTAGATTATAAACACAATGTTTTTGGCAGGTTAATTCTGTATTAAGAAACAGAGCGCTTGCAGGAAACGTCAGATGCTTATTTTATGATCCGTTTAAGGAGTAATTCACCCCACACAAGGATTTGGAATTGGCAAGCCAGCCCCTGTCCACCCACTCGCATGTGAGGAAGGCAGGGACAGTGTCTCCTCCTCGCCACAGTTGTTAGGTAATGGACACTTGTAACTCTCAGTGAAATGCAGCGGCGGGAAGAGGCAGGGTTGTGGATGTCAGTGGCCACCAGGGCAGCCCCGCCAGGGACAGTAATAGAAGTCTTTACTCACCATTCCTTACAGTAACGGGTAAATCCAGGCCAACTCTGTTGTGCTGAATTAAGGTTCAGAGACAAAGAAGAGTGAAAGAATTAGTCTACTTACTCCTCTTTCTCAACCTGCAGAATAAGACTGGCAGCCCAGAAAGGGGACAAATGATTCACTCCAGCTCACTTGTTTCCAAACTCTCTGCCCATGTGGCGGTTCTCTTTTACAGGCATAGTCGGAAACCCAGACACTCACTGTTCCTCACTTAAGAAATTGTGCTAATTTCATGTGTCATGATTTTGAAGACCATAAGGTAAAAGAGAACATTAAATGCCTGGCAGAGTTCTTTTAGTTAGCAGTACTTGACCACCACAACTGTGGTTCTCAAGAAGGTACCAGGAAGTCACATCTCTGGCATGATACCACGTAACAGTCTCAAAGTTCCAATGAAAGGAGGCTGCTTCCACAGTTCAGAAAACTGGAAAGCATTATTAATGATCTATGAGCAGGCATGGATGTTAAGTTTCAACAAAGCATGGAGCAGAGGATGATTTTAGTACAATCTTTTCATTGTACAATTAAGTGAGATATCATGTCTGTCATGCAGTAGGTATGTAGAAGAGCTGGAACATGGATGCAGAATTTTTTTTGGCCATTTAGTCCAGAGGTCTTGCTAACATGCTACATTGTCCATGCTGCCTTTTTAACCCATAAAACAAAGAAATGAAGGCATATGTTTGGCCTAGCTGGATTGAGTTCCTAATTCCTGCTTCAGTTTCAGCCCAGCCCTACTTGTTGCAAGCATTTAGTGAGTGAACTAAACAATCTCTTCTCTCCTTCAAATAAATAATTTGTTAAATAAAAATCAGTATGTAATAATGAATGCACAACTCCAGAGCAATCCTCAGAGAACAAATCACGTGAGCATCCTCACAAAGTTGGTAGACCCACAGATGAAGACCCCAAATCATTAATCATAAAGAGGCCCCAAGAATCCCAAGACATCTCAACATAACAGCCTTCTCATAGGGCTTATCGTCAGCCTGCAAGTAAGGCAAAACACCAAGGGACAGTGAGAGATTGGTCAGAACTTGTATCTAACTAGCTGTTAGGTGTTTTGAATGCTGCGTCTGCTAATTGGGAGATGCTGAAGGTATCAGAGCATCGCTGAGTACACACACTGCATCCACTTCAATTATGCTCGCAGAAGGCAACATCTGCAGCTTGTTAAGGGCAAATTATTCAGGTAATACAGACAGAATGTAAACATTACTGAGAAGAAAGCAACAGAGGTACCCTCTTTGAGCTGCCTTAATTTTTGTTTTTCTATTGCTGTAAATTCTGGCCACCTAAGCCCAAGAAATCTGACAAAAGTAGCCTTTTTAATGTCTGCTAAATCATCTCGAGTAACTAGCTAAACCTCTGTTAGAAGCCATTAAAAGGGCATGCTCTTTCCATTCCACTCATCACCAGACTCTGGCAACTTGTTTACTACACTAACTGGAGACAGAAAAACAAGAGGACACTAGGTTGTGCCACACCTGCTATACAATTCAATTATTGTAAACTAGTTGTTCAACAGAAAAAAAATCATCTGACCTCTCAGTCTATTGATGAAATAATGAACTCCCACTGTTCTACCACAGATGTTCTGTGTCAATGGACTACAAGGGAGCTTGGGACTTTGCCCCTTGGCATCTCAGTGTGGCACATGGGCCTGAAGCTTCCCCACCTCATTTTGCTGTGACTAAACTGTAGTGTTGCAATGCAGGAGCCAAATGTTTTTAATTTGCCTTTAAGAACACACCCACAACCTTGGCAAGTGCCTCTAATAGCGTGGGGCCTCTGCAGATGATGTCACATGCATGGGGAAAGATTAGTTTCTACCCTGACATTTAGATGATTTTTTAAAATGGCTAGCTACATAAATTTAGAATTCTATGACTTTTACAGTATCTTACGCTTTGAACTCTAAATTCTCTTTCTCTTCATATCTTCAGGGTTTTATTAGTATTTTTAAATGGCATGTTCTTGGTGATTACTGTTGATTGATGGGTAAGTATAATGTCTTCTTGATATGTTGTAGGAGAGAGCTGAAAATAACCTGTCCCTTCCAAATCAGTCACCATGAGACTCTGGAAGAGGGGGAACAGCCCTGCTCAAGGCTGAACTGCATAACGTCACTCAAAGTTGGCCCAGCCTTTTATACCACAGCATTCTCTGACACAAAGGTCATACATGTCTTCACCTATTTTAACCAGTTCACTCCATTTGCAAACTTACTCCATTTGTTAAGTCATTCTGCCAAAAGATATGATAACATTTCTGGTTTCTAATCCATCTTTATTTAAAATCAGTAACTACTTGCAATTCATTTCAAAGAGGCTAAATGTTTTCTGTCTGGCCCATGAGTCTGAGGCATCACTGCAAACTATCTGAGCAGAGCACTGCACAATTTGCTCTGGTTATTTTCTAGCCAAATAATAACCTAACTTCACCAAACAATTTGGGTCTACTGACTGAATTCAGACCCAACCAGCAAAGCCAATAGTGCCTCTAAGTAAGCAGGGAAAAAAAGAGAAAGCAAGTGAGCCTGACTAGTTTAACATGCCTTAAAGGAAATGTTCGTCCTCTCCAGTAAAAGAGGATTTGTCACCTGCTAAAGAAAACGAAGTTTAGGCTGGCGCCTCGGCTCACTAGGCTAATCCTCCGCCTTGCGGCGCCGGCACACCGGGTTCTAGTCCCGGTCGGGGCGCCGGATTCAGTCCCGGTTGCCCCTCTTCCAGGCCAGCTCTCTGCTGTGGCCAGGGAGTGTAGTGGAGGATGGCCCAGGTGCTTGGGCCCTGCACCCCATGGGAGACCAGGGTAAGTACCTGGTTCCTGCCATCAGATCAGCGCGGTGCGCTGGCCGCAGCGCACCGACCGCGGCGGCCATTGGAGGGTGAACCAACGGCAAAGGAAGACCTTTCTCTATGTCTCTCTCTTTCACTGTCCACTCTGCCTGTCAAAAAGAAAAAAAAAAAAAGGAAACTAAGTGGAGTGATGTCAGGACAAAGTGATGAAGGTGCGGCCTATTGGCAGGAGGTCAAGGATAAGAGCCCAGAGGTTTCAGTTCCAGCCTGTCTACTAACTGGGCAAATTACTTCACTTTCAGAGGCTCAGTTTTCTCATCTGTAAAATGACGGAGGTGCCCACAGCCCCCTAAAGGCCCATTCAACTCTGACATGGCAAGGCTGCGACTCCATAAAAGATTTGCATTGACTAAAATAGAAGGAAGAGGCAGATGGTATATTGGGCTCAAGAGCTCTGGCCAGGAAGAGATCTGACTACTTCTTGAGAGTTATGTGAGTCGAGAAGTGGAAAAAGAAAAGCAACTTTGTTTAGGCAAATAAAATTATGTTAAAAATAATTTAAAAATCAAAATTACATTGTAAAGTAACTAAAGAGAGTAATAGGTAATAGCAAAATTCATTTCTAAAAATATGGGAAGTAAAACTGGCAAATGAGACAAAGAATATACGGAAAAGAATGTGTCAAAAATTAAAATGTCATTTTTTTTTTCTGTGAGTAGAAAAAAGAAACAGAATTCCAGTGAGAATCCAGGCCATCACACAATTCATACTGCCAAATCCTTAACACAGGAAATCTGTACCTAGTGGTAATGTACATTTTTAGAATTGTAAATTTATATCCTCCTTTGTCTATGTGTCTGTGATTTGAGCCAGGCTTGGGAGCTTGGTCTTGTAAGATATATACTAGGGAATCACTGCTGTGGAGTGGAGTGCAAGCTCAAGCGCTGGCTATAAAGCAGATTATCCGAGTAGGCGTATGAAGAAGGAGAGGAGTGGGGGAAGGCTTGAACAGAACAACCGGGTTCTCCATTATCTTTACCTGATGTGATACGGGCTGGAATTTCAAGAAACAAATGGAAATGGCCAAATTCAAGTCTGGAAAAAGGACTGCTGAACTCAATGACAGGCATATAACAGAAAATTCCGAGGTTTGAACCTATAGATCAAGAAAGTATGGTGCCACAGAAAGTCTAATGGGTGATATGGGCAAAAGAGAAACTCTGGTTTGGATATAGTTTTTTTTTTTTTTTTTTAGGTTCAATTTCTCCTGTCTAATCCAAAATAAGCCCTGATTGTGAATGGCTCAGTTGTTAAGTGGGAAGACAGTATTTGGTTTCCTCAGTAATAGTACCATAGGAATCAATAAGCTAATGTTTTAAGGCATTTTAAACGCATATGGTGGAGCACAAGTGATTTTCAGGGCTTAAGAACTTCTATATAATACCATAGTGGTAGATCAACGTCATTGCACATTTGTCAAAATCCGTAGCCTATACACCAAGAGTGATGTAAACTACAAACTTCAATTGATAATGATGTGTCAGTGTTGATCTGATTGTAAAGTCTATTTTTTTTTTTTTTTTTTGACAGGCAGAGTGGACAGTGAGAGAGAGAGACAGAGAGAAAGGTCTTCCTTTGCCGTTGGTTCACCCTCCAATGGCCGCCGCGGCTGGCGCGCTGCGGCCGGCGCACCGCGCTGATCCGATGGCAGGAGCCAGGAGCCAGGTGCTTTTCCTGGTCTCCCATGGGGTGCAGGCGCCCAAGCACCTGGGCCATCCTCCACTGCACTCCCTGGCCACAGCAGAGAGCTGGCCTGGAAGAGGGGCAACCGGGACAGAATCCGGCGCCCCGACCGGGACTAGAACCCGGTGTGCCGGCGCCGCTAGGTGGAGGATTAGCCTAGTGTGTAAAGTCTATTTAAAAAAAAAAAAAAAAACTTTTAAACATATGGCATGGTGTAAGCTGTGTATTTTGATGCTATTTCTTTACATAATACATCAACAAACTTCCAGAGGTCTAATGAAACTAGGCAGATAATTTGAATAAATAATTCTCTAAAGAACACATACAAATGGCCAGTGAAATACTGAAAAATGTCTCAGCATCACTAATTATCAAGGAAATGCAAATCAAAACCACAATGAGATATCATCTCACCCCAGTTAGAATTGGCTGTTATCAAAAATTTTAAAAATAACAGATGTTGGTGAGCATG